CCGCCCCGCCTGTGCGGTACGCCCTGCGGCCAGGCCGGCGGCCGGAGCCCATCCAAACGACTGCCTGCTTTGGCCGCTTACAGTTTACGGTAGTGCCCCCACCTCCCCTCTCCCCCGACCGGTGGCTCTCCGCCGCACTTTATTCCAAACCACTTTCAAGCGTCACTTTTTCAGCAATGACACATTTAATACATTCAACACTGAAAATAATGTAACGTTACTGTAGAGCATTGAGTGTCATATTGAGTGTCATAAGCGTCACACTCAATTCTGATTTTCGGTTCCGTTCCTTTTCAGAAGATAATCCGAAATAGTACTCTGAATGCACAGTTTTACTTTCTTTTAAATACACACACACACAATCACATTTTGTTTTTCTGCTTCTATTGCTGTTTAGTCTGTGTTCCTGTCGTATACCCGCCTTGCCTCTGCGCAACTCGGCGCCGCACGGCGCCGTCGCGCTCCGGTGCTTATTTCCTAGTCATTTGGCGGGTGAACAATCTTGAACGTCCTTATATAACGGCACGGTTCGGAGCTTGGCTGGCATCACATTGGAGCGCTTGTTTTCTTCCCAGTCCTTCCCTCCCGCCTCGGGGTGAAGCAGCAGCGGAGGTGGAGGGGCTGGAGGGAGCTGGGGAGGGGAGGGGACCGGAGGGGACCGCCAGCTGCGGAAACGTTTTCGCGCTTCGAGGGTCTCCGAGCCGCCGCCGCGGCCGCCAGCTCCGGGCCGCTGCCGCCGCGGAGCCCCTCCTCGCCCCTCCTCCCCTCCCTCGTGACCCCCATGCGTCCGTTGACCCTGCTCTACCTCTTTGTCTCCCGCCTGCAGCGGCGTGGACCGCAACGGCCGAGGCAACGACGCGCTCGCCCCGTAAAGCTCTGATTGTGAGCGGCGTTAAAAGCGTGCATAGCAATGACGGCCGACATCCTCTTTCGCCGGCCCATGTGCAGGCGAATCCGAGGCTTCAGCACGGGCTTAAGCAGAGGCTCAAGCGGAGGCTCAAGCGGAGGCTCAAGCAGAGACTCAGGCCGAGGCCAGCAGAGGCTCCAGGAGTGGCTCTAGGCCAGGCTCCAGCCAAGGATCCAGGCGACGCTCCAGCAGAGGCTCTACGTGAGGCTCCAGCAGGGGCTCCAGGAGGGGCTCTAGGCCAGGCTCCAGCCAAGGACCCAGCTGAGGCTCTAGCTGAGGCTGCAGCAGAGGCTCTAGGCGAGGTTCTAGTTCCAGGTGAGGCCTCAGTCGAGGCTCCAGCAGAGGCTCCATTGGCTCCAACCCCATGGCGGGCAGGACAGTTATAAGTTTTCATTTTAGTGCTCTCGAGTTACCTTCCACGGCGGCGTCGGTCGGATGTGCATGGGTGGGCATTTGGTCGCGCGGTGCTTCACCGCTTTACCTGCCTGCGGGCGGGCTTACTGGCCTGGCCCAGGGTCGCGGCGCGGCGTGGCGCGGCTTGCTGCAGCGCGGTGGAGCGGCGTTGAGGCGCATGAAGTAGTGAGGCACCGCTGAGCGCCGATGCTCCAAGCCGCCTTCCGATATGGATAGGAAGCCGGTCCTTGCGACGCGTCTCTCTGCGCTGACGCGCGTTTGCTCCGCCTGGAAAGGAAAATGCCACTGGCCGCGCATCGCATCGCCGCTGGAGGAGAGTGGGTCGGCGGACTCTCCTTCTCTCTTCTTTCTTAAGTCTGTTTAGAGTGTGCCCGGCAGACCCCCAGAGCGCCTGGCGGGTAGGCAGTCCCGCGCGACACCCGCGCTCGACGGGCCTGCCGCCCCACCACCTCGCCAGGCGCTCCGAGGCGCTCGGCCGGACGGACCGTGGTGCGCCACGCCACGCCGCGCCGCGCCAAGTCAAGTGATAAAGCGCGACCTTACACCTTACAGGTCTGACTGCGCGCGTCAGCCGGCGGCCACTTTGCCGCGCGATAGACGCCGCCGTCGCCGCGACGACGCGAACTTGACACAAATCCTCCGTGTCCGTGTCGGGCCAGGCCGTGACGAGCTCCGCCGCCGCCGCTGCCTCTGCACGCGACGCGAGCGAGGCAGGCGCAGGCAGCGTACTTATTCCTCAGAGCTGTTCCCTCCTATAGATTTCATGGGCATAACCGCAAATTGGCCTCGAACCTCGTGGTAAACAAAAGGACCCCGCGTCGTCCCGCCCGTCAGCAGGTCGGGCACCCTCTCGCGCTCCGCTCGCGCTCCGCTCGCGCTCGGGCCGCGGTTTCGGGAGTTGCGTTCCACTCGTAATATGCAGTCGACCCGCGAGGCCAAATTATATCATCGGCGAGATGATGATGTTGTTGTACCCCTCGGCTCCGGTGGAGCCGCCGGCCAGCGCACAGGGCCAGCCGAGCACGACGAGCAGCGACCTGCTGCTCAATGAGTGGGAGCGCTCGCCGTCACGCACGCTCGCACGCCCGTGCCGTGCTGGAGGATGGGTTATGATGGGGATGCTGCGCGCTCTGTGCCCCGCCCCGCCGTGCCGTGCACTGCTCCGCCGCGTGTCGCTCTGATGCAACCGGATCTCTCTGCTGTGTGTGTTGTGGTGGTAATGGGGTGTCCTCCGTCCTCGGGGGCCAGCCCCCGGTGCAGCATCACGCATCACGCGCTCGCTCCGTTTCGACTATATTCGCCGCCCACGTTTCGCCCTCTCACTCTTGCCCTTCCATGTAATAACGTCGCCTGTGTCTCTGCCCCTTCCAGGTGTCGAGTTCCTACGAGGAGCAGCGGCTCAACACCCTCCCGCCTGGACTCCAGAGCCATGCCGTCAACATGGGCACCCTGGGGCCGCGCGCCGAGCCCGGCGTCAACCCGGCCTTCAGTGTGGACGAAGAGTCTGACGCCATGGACGCCTTCTTCAAGCAGGTGAGCGCCCTTGAACTGCACCAAGTGTGACACTGCAAAATAAAGAGCTTAAACACATTTTAATCGCCCCGGCTGACAATACAAGGGCATTTGACTGAACTGCCCCGTTATTGCTCTAGGTGGAGGAGGCGCGCGAGCTCACCCGGGGCGTCAAGGACCACGTCAAGGAGATGCGTCGCCTCCACAGCCAGGTGCTGTCGTCTCCAAGGCCCGACCAGAGTAGGTATCGCACCTCACGGAACGGAGCG